CGGCAGTAGCAGTTATGCCTACAGTTTTCTTGTTCAAAACCACTTGTCCATTTGCGCAGATTGCCATGGAAACAGACGCTGCACACATGTACAGAGCGTGAGCGCTGCTTTAGGCCATAGTGCAGTCAGGCGTTGCGCTCAGAGATGCGGTTCAATGTCTTCATTACAAGTTCACGCCTAGACTCATGGTCCCTACCAAAATCCTTACAGACCTAGTGCCTTCATCGCTCTACTTCAGTCATCCAAGACAAGTCGCACCTCCGGTCGCCGATCTGCCTAAGTCAATCCGTAACGAGGCTTTCTTCATCAATAGGAGAGTCTATGGATTTCCTTCTCTGTGATATTCGAACGGAGGCGAATGTACTGTATCGAAGCATCTAGTAAGAAGTGATACTACCTGTTGCAACTTCGTTCTCCACGGGATTTTGACGTGTGTGCAAGAAGTGACAGTCATTTGAAGGTGTGATATTGGCTAACTATTATTTGATACTTGTAGTTAGTGTAAATAGTGTATTATCCATGCACAGATGTATATTTATCTCACTAGTTACTTTAATGGATTCTCATTTGAGACTTTTCAGTTGTTCGATTAATTAACAGTGGGTGGGCTAGTTATTTTTGAGCAATGGAAGAGGTTTTCCAGAAGGCTGTCTCAGATTGTCTCAGCGGTGCACCCTAGTATTCCTTAGGCTTTCAAGGCAGCCTTCAGGGCAAAGTGAGTTCATTAGGACTATTTGAAGGCGGCAGCGGAAAATTCAGAGAAAACTGATAGCGGTGAACCGGATGATGGGCGTTTCTTCCCAAAGGGACGGTGTGGTTCGTAGCGCGCGCGCGATGAGTTCAACTGTCGCGTGCTGTGGCTCCCTTCCCTTTAATAAGGCCCAGCCAGGACGCGTGCTATGACATACTTCTGCGCATATCTTAAGAGGAACCTTAGAATGAAGCACTCCACACTAATTCTGTTCTTTTTATGGCAGAAACGCGCTGGATCGTCTCCTTTCAGCTCTTTAAACTATCCCATCATACCAGACTCGTTATTATAGCGCGCACTATCCTCAAATAAGATCTTCATCCAAATTTCCACGTTCTCAAATTGTGCATCCTTACTATTATTAACGTAATTTGTTGAACGTTCTATATTACTGCTATTTTAGCATTATTTTTCGTTCAACCATTATTATTTGTTTAGTCAGAGTCCGAGACCGTGCTCTCAGTGCACGCACATCGCGACAGTTTCACGAATTGCGGACAATGTCCGCGACGTGTGAACTCTGCGAAATTGCCGTTGTATTTGTATTTATTGTTGTATTTGGACGTGTTTTACTTGTGAATAAAATTAATAATAAATCCGTATTTCATAAAAATTCGGTAGCACGTGGGATGAACCGCGAGCGCGGCTGCAAGTGTCCTGTGCAGATTGAAGATTCACAAGATTCTCGACCAAAACGGCCAAAGAAAGTACCTCTGTTCACACCGGTCCGTGTGCTAAACCAGCAGTATTTTCTATGTGATGTACCCTGTTCTTTTTGGACAATATTGCTCGCGAGACAGAAAGAAAGGCAATCTAACTATAAGAGGCATGGCTGAAGAGCGGTCAGCAGTTTCGATGGCCATGTTCATTACTCGGACATGTCAACGACGACTGTGCGGTGGCTAGATGGCGGCCACGTAGTACGTAGAGCCGTCCCATAAATTGATTTTGAATTCGCCAAGGGTCATCATACACGAGCTCGCCTTCTAGCCATCGGTGTCACTGTCTTTCAGAGGCGTTACGTAAATTGCCTTCAGCCATAAAGCAGGCGCATAGCCACCGTTGGCATTAATGGAGATGATCTCAAAGAATGTGCTCCGATAAGGTCATGGAAATTCACAGTTCGAACAACGTTGCTGTACGACGATCCTAGCACAATGCATCGAGGGTAGAAGATCGACCAGCCTGTGCCGGTTATTGATGTGGGGCGATGTTCCAAGAAGGGGCACCAATGTCTTGTTTGAAGGGGTTGGGCTGAAAATGAGCGCTAATTGCTTCATCTATTATAATAGCACGATGACAACATCGCGCCCGTCATGCTGTGGCATCAGCCTTTTTCCCAGCATACTAATGGTGAGTGCAATTAGTGGGTAAATGCTACTAAGAGTGCTCAGAGTGCTATCTTAGTTGGCGGGGGGGGAGGGGGTGGGGGAAGAACACGCGAGCCGCAGCGCTCTGGTAGTCTCCTCCTGCAAGGCTTACTCATCGAGGTTACGAGGGCAGCGGTCAACCAAGGCGTGAGAGTCCAGACAGAAAAGACCCCCTCCCAACTAAGATAGTACCGTGCTCAATTACTGAGCGAAAAGCGTAGACAAAAAAAATGAAAAGAAAACTATCCTCATAGTACCCCCTGTCCTCGACTCTCTCAATTACCAAGCATGGGCTGAGCTTCATATTAGAAGGATTATGTGAAGAAGACAAAGCAATCAAGGCGCTATCGCAGGATATGGGTACATACCACAGGACGGCGTCTAGGAGGGGCAGCAAATACGATGAAAATCAGGACTGCCCACACATCTTGAAGTCCTTCCCCTCCCGCTTGAAGCTTGATCCCGTTTTTACGAGAGGAGATGACTTACACGATCTCAAATACATTGTCACAGAATACCCCCTTATCTGAGGGCGGAAGTGGTGTAGTGGCAAGTGGCACGCTTACCACGCGAGCGGTCCGGGATCAAATCCTGGGTCGTGAGTCGCCCGGGCCAACCAAGCCTTCCATCCCTCCGGGGTCGGTTAATTGGTACCAGACTTGTCTGGGAGGATAAAAACACTGACTTGTACATCGGCTGGCCCCCGCAAGTCATTGTATAGGCCACATCGCATTCAAACGCCACTACGAATGTACAAATGGAAGTAGAATGCGTGCCGCATCCCAAAAAGGGATTGATCAACGGCAAATGCTTTATCCTTTTATCTTTTTTTTTAGACCAGATTAGTCCCCCGTCAACCGCCGGGACCTTCCTTTCCTGCGCAAGCTTTCTATCCTCCGCTATGGTCCCTTCCTCCTGTGACACCAACACCTCCTGGAAGTGACGCGTATGCAACACAATGGTGTTTCATACAGTAGAAGGGACACAATCATGATATGACGGTAGATTTTTCGCTTCCCTTCCTCATCCTCCCTTCCTCTCTCCACTGCCCTCCAGCTGCCACTGCAGCACCATGTGGAATGAACGGAAGTGTGCTAAGCAGGTGTTTATATAGCCCTAAGAGTGTTATCACAACTATCCTGCTACAAAACATTGATATCTCAAATCCTGTAAGCTACCCGATTTGTTAGCGGTTTGTTTATCCCATGAGCTTCCTTCTCACTCACTTCATTTTGCGGACGGACACACATACATACATACACACACACACACACACACACATACAGATACACAAACCGACACACAAAGTTAGCGCTTTATAAAATAGAAGGATAGGAGGAATCAAGCTTCTGGGTAAGTTCTGAAAGTCGCACCGTTCTCACCTGGCCAAATTTACCGTCGATGTTCTTGGAGACGGATGTTACGATTCGATTCGTGACATTGAATTCTAAGGTAGAAAAACCAGGCTAAACGTGACTAATTCAGTGTTGGTGGGGAAGAACAAAAGCCTCAGCTTTCGTTTGTTGTATGACCCTCAGGATTCAATGCTTCGTTGGTTTCAAGTGAGTTCCGCCATTGTAGCAGAAACAAGGAAGCAAGAAAAACGCAAACAGCTTCCGTAGCACGGCAACGAAGTCTTCGAGTTCCACACTTGTTAATTCAGCAGTGCTCTCAATAACCTGACCCAGTCAATCTGTGCCTTGTCGCGCCAAACTGGAGCAGCACATGCGGTTTTTGCAGCGTCCGGTTTTGACAAATTCAGCCTCTACCCCGAACCGCTGTGTCATGCATTTCCTATCCTTGCTTTGAGCGTGGAAATTAAGTGTCATGTGAATTTGTCTGTTCAACAGTGGTGTTGTCGTGCACCCCTCAAGCCATGAAATTTTCTTGGTAAAAATACAGAACTGGATCGTCATCATATATTCCTACAAATATGTTGTTCGGTCTCTGCTACGCATAGTTTCCGGCGCAATGTGGCTCGGGGGGGGGGGGGGGCACTCTGAGAAAAGTCATCTAGGACTAAGCCTAAACAGCAGGGACGAACTCCGGAGAATACGAAAATTGCTTCCGTACACCGGAGTTCCTCTCCTCTTCAAAAGCTTAGTCCTAAAACGGAGCGTTTCCGTGATTTTGACGCGATGTTGCGAGGTGCCCCCCGAGCCACATTGCGCGCCGCCCAAATCCGTATTCCGCTGTTACATTTTGAAGCATTGCAACGGTTCTTCAAGTGTTCATTTTGCCAGATGTCGGACGAAGGTGTATGGACGTTGATCGAATCCGACCCAGGTGTATTCACAGAAATGTTGCGTGGATTCGGTGTCGAAGGTGTGCAGGTTGAAGAGTTGCACTCCTTGTCTGAAGAGGAAACTGCGGCATACAAGTTAGAAATTTGCTTTTTTTAACCACTTGTAGAGAATCAAGTAACAGTCGATTCAGCACGAGAATACTAAGTTATGGGTAGAACTTTTTCATACACTCATCTCTTGCTTCTTCGGGCAACTGCGCTACCATTTACATCCCCGGGGTACCTTTTCATCCAACTCGGCTTCGATGGTGAATAGCCGATATCAGCAGTGCACCGCAAGGACTGAAAGCTTGTTGTGTTTTGCTAGGGCATAAAGCGAATTTTCCGCTCTTTGCAGCGCGAAACTTTTTTCACTGCAAGGATCCCAGGTCTTCTCCTGATCACTGTTGGACCTGGAGCTGCCGTGAAAGATTTCGCGCTGCCAAAAGCGTTTACGTACAGTCCTAATCTTGAAGTCAGATAAGGTGTGGCTATGGATTTGACCGTGGTCGTTGCCGCACTTGATAGGAGCCGGTGGGGGTAAGCTATTTCTAAAATGTTACGCTGGATATCACCAAAGCATGCTGGTAACTTAACCGCGCATTTTTTATCAACTACGGCGGCCGCAACGCCATGTCCCATAAACAACAGCCTAAAAGTGCTTTCGAGTAGGGAGTGTAAGCTTTCTGTCGTAAGCGGTTTGCCGAAGTTGGAAGCTCTATTAGGTTTACAGTTTTGATTTGTTTCTATGAGATAACTGCGGTTTTACGCTTCTGTCCTCCACAGCTTGATTCAATAGGAACAATCCGATTCGGCGATTCCTTACCACATTCTTTATGTTCTTGGGCTGATGCATCGTGGCGCAGGAGTTCATTCCAGCAGCAGTGATATTTGTAATAACAGTAACTTTTTGCAGGGTAGGAAGCTGTGGGATGTGTGAGCAATTGCGCTTGCAAGAAGGGGGCTAAGCATGTTTAGAATAGAAATATTTGTCGTGACTTTGGAAACTTTAGGCGCTCTGCGCCGCAATGCTTCCCCCTGCCCCAGTGCAATACCTCCTGAAGTTTTGATAAAGATATGGTATCTAAGAAAATAGCGGAAGGGGCAGCTTTTTTTATTCGTCATAGTTTTGAAAAACCTGTAGCAGTTCTGTGTCAACTTACCATTGGTGGGGGGAGGGGTAGTTTCAGCCGCGGCGCGAAGCATGTTCGCGCCCTTAAATGCCCGTTCGCGAAGGGAGTATAGTCAGTACGGAGGGGAGGATGAGCGAGCCACTTAACGTAAGGTTGGAATGTGTGACTTTACGCTATTTCGCTGAAACGGCGCGGAAACATGCTGCGCCTCGCGGTGAAAACTGCTCCAGTTAGTATCCAATTCTGCAAGTACTTAGCCAGAACTTGCTAATTTTTGAGTGGTTAAACGGCGTGGCTAGCTAATCTCACTCGTACTTTCATTGCACAAAAATAATAGTTTTTAAACCTTGTGCTTACTGTCTCTTGAATTCTTTTGTCGCCACCCCAGTCGCCGTTTTAGTGGTTATTTTTGAGAACACTTCCCATGATATCGAGGAAGCCCAGGCGCAGTGTTGCTCGGTGGGGGGAGGGGGCGTCGCCACCGCGGCGCGTCACATGTTCGCGTACTCCAGTGCGGAGCGGGGAATTCGTGAGCCAGGGGTGTAGTCAGTGTAGGGGGTGAGGGCAGTCACTTGACATGCGTGAAAAGCTGGAATGTTCGAGTTTCCACTATGTCGCGAACATGCCATGCGCCGGCGGCGGCGACTGCCACCTCTCCCCCCCCCGAGTCTTATTGAACCGAAGTCCATTCTCTACTCCTTCGCTAGAATTTTCCTCTTGGATTTCCTTGTTGTCCACTTGTCAAGGACTACTGTCTGCCACAATCGTTTTCTGTTTTGTTTCAGCCCTATCTATGGTTTGATTTTCCTTTTCAAATGGCGACCTGGAGAGGAACCCATTGGAGAACCTGTCGATACGAACAATGTATTTTTTGCTCAACAGGTACACACCTTAGTTTTTCTTGAGGCGGACGGGGAATATCTATTTTCTGGAAACAAATAGTTAGTATTGTTCTTCCAGGTGATTACCAATGCCTGCGCAACTCAAGCCATTATAAATTTGCTGATGAACGTGAACGATCCTAAAGTAAAACTTGGCCCAGTACTGGAAGAATACCGCGACTTTGCCAAGCAAATTGACCCTGCTGTAAGTGCTTTGAATATTAGGAACGTACCAATATATGCATTTGTATCGCGACCACGGTTGCATGTTTAGAGCAGAGGTTTGGTTCTGTCTAATTGCGAGAAAATACGTCAAGTGCACAACAGCTTTGCTCGCCCGACATTCTATGAACTCGATGTCAATATGCCCCCATCTGAGGATAATTACCACTTCATTACTTTTGTGCCTGTAGGAAACAAGGTAAGTTCCCATGGTTCAAATGAGGATGCGTCAATTCTCAATGTCCTTCATGGAATTTTGTTTCCACTTTTCTCATATTTACTTCCTTTTTGAATTCCCCTTATCTATCTCCATTTTCGATTTACGAACTCGATGGACTTCGCGAATTCCCACTCGAAGTGTCTATAGTCCCGAAGGGAATCCACCCGTGTGGAATTATTAGCCCATTATCACAGACGTATGCGGAAGGTTGCTGCATCAGGCAACTGATTTCAATTTCTTCATTGATGTTAAAGATTTAATATGGCCGATATCAGTTCACTAATGCTTTCTTGTAACAGAGGAGTAATACTAAGGCGAAGAGAGAAATTCTCAGATGGGTATCACTTTGCAGGTTTCCTCTCCATTCTCCAGATTTTGTTATTTTAATGTTGTTGTAATGAATTTAGTGTTGTCAGGTAAAGCACTTCCTTCAACGATGTTGATGTATATAGCTTGCTATCGTTGAAAATAAGATCGACGAAGAAGGACATAAGCTCGATACGTGGGTTAATGTTTTTGCATTGGTCTTGTCTGCCTATAAATTGTATTCCTTATACCCTCTTAATCTGGTGCCACACTTCGCGAATCCAGCTTATCGCGGGACACGCTAGCAGTTGAGAATGTAGTAAAGTGGCGTAGTCAGAGTGCAACTGCGAGAGATTCTCGTTATTTTCTGCCCTGTTTTTTCTGTGTTTCTGTTTCTGTCTGCAGTCGTTGATGCATCGTTTGCACTGCTGACGCAACGTTCGGATTGCAAGGTCTGACACAGGCCTTACCATCTAGTTGTTGGTCATGATAACCAGGAGGTAGGACCGTTGCGACAATCCTGTAGTTAGTAGCGAGTAGATACAGCATGCTCATGCGATCGCATGATCAATGTGCATCTACTCCAAAAAGATCGCAGAATCGCAAGATCGCAAACCGCGGCTTAACTAAACAGATTGGTCCTTTAATCGAGTTATGTAAAGTAGAAACGTTCGGAATACACCATAAAGGCTGTTTGGTGTTCTCTCATGAAAACTCTTTCGAAATAACTTTTTTTATAAGTTTGCTCCTCTTTTTATGAATTGCACCACAGCTCTCCCGTTCAAAAATCATGCCGGTAGTAGCTTAAGGTCCATTACCAACGCATGTAACCGTCGCGTTTGTTACACAACGACATCCGTCACACTCCGAAGTGTTTTAAAACGTGTAAAATCCAAAGTTATATAGGAAACGAACCTCACCGAACAGCAATATCCGATCGAATAGCGATATTGTAATGTTAGACTTTGAAGGAGCTGCGAGTCAGCTTGGAGGCTAACTTTTAAGTTGTTTTCTTAGTTTTTTTTTCTTTTATGTTAACTTCGGTAACTTTGCCAATTTTTTGTGCAGTTTCAGGTATCGACGAGAAAATGCTAGACGTCGCCACAATTACTTGCCGTTTATTGTCGAGATCTTGCGTATTCTTGCAAAGGAAGGTCGACTGGTTCCCATGGTCGAAAAGGTAGTGTCCTTATGCCATTTGGGAAATGATAAGAAAAGGATTTTGTGAAGACACTTGTTTTTTTTTGAACGATTTTGATTTGTTCGAATAATCTTCTTTGAACTAACATTTCAACAGTCGAAGAGGATTAGGTTTCATGTAGCTTCTTCAAATTTCTTTCGTGCTGTTTTTTTTATCATCTGTGTCACTGACAAGATACAGCGTCGTACCGTGCTCTCCGACATGATGAAGCGGATG